ATATACGCCACTCGCCATGAATTTAAATTCGGCGTAGACCACCATCGAGATCACGGACTCCGTCCTTCGTGCATTTTTGGCCTCAAAATCAAAAGAGATCTTTCCGACCCTAGCTCCAGGACATACAGCCACCCAAGACGACTCGAACACAAGCGATATCGATATGTCGGATTTAGGTCTAGACTCTCACCGAACGCTTGAGTTGGAGAGGCAAGAAGATTGGGAAGAGAGTGTGAGGAGGGAGGAGAAAGAAGCAGATGAGTTGAGAAGGGAGAATCAGAACGCCCGTTGGGAATTGGAGATGGCGAGACAGGAGGAAGAGGAAAGGGAGAGATTGAGAGTGTAGATCGAGCATGCTCGCTGGGAATTCGAGACGGAGAGACAGCGGGAGGAGGAAATGGAGAGAGTGAAGGAGGAGAACGGAGGAAGTGCGTCGAACGTGCAGATTGGAGGAGAGGAGACGGAAACGACCTCTCAAAACCTCGATTCCGACACTTTGGTCCAGACGGAAGCTTGGGATTCGGGGGTGTGGTGGCATTTAGTCGAGGTAATGCAACATGTCGAGGAGGAAAAGGACGGAAGATCGAAAGGTGAAGAGGAAGTCGCGGACGGGATCGATGAGAGTCGAGAGGAAGAGGGTGCAAAGGAGGACGACAAGGACGACCAATCGGGCGAAAAGGATGCAGAATCTCTGGCACGATCGCAGGAGAAGGAGTGGTCGACGCCGGACAACACCGGAGAGAAGGAATGGTCGACGCCGGACACCGGAGCGGAGGCGAGCCCGACAGTGGAGAGTAATGCTGCCTCGGAAGGTCCCAGTCTAGACGGGGTAACCAGATCGTTGAAGTGGTTGATGGATAAACTCGTCCAAGTGGCGTCTTCGAAACTGGTCCGCGAGATTATGGAGACTGGTGCTTTGGTCCTGGGTACCTTGGGTTATTTGATGGATAAATTTGTCCAGGGAGCGTCTTCGATACTGGGGCATGGAATTACGAGTATTGGGGCTTGGGTACTGGGTTATTTATCCCGTTGGTTATATCCTTTCCTCTTCCGTCAGCTAGCTAGGATAGCAGGCAAGTTCTTGGTGGCGCTAGCTCTTGTGGTAGTTCTGATCGCAATGTTGTTGGTCTGGGTCAGTGGGAAGATTGTGGGGGCCGTCCACGGGACTCCAGCGCAATCTGCATCTTGTAGGATAGTCTTCGAAACTTAAGACAGTAGTATATGTATAGCAAAACGTTTACACTGCTTCTTTAGCGATACGATGGACGATAGATGTCGTAGTGTTCACATAACAGTGGGAAAAATGAGAGAAAGTAACGAAAGATGTGGCTACAAGTTGGAAGGTGTTAGCCTTGCAAGGGTACGAGAAATTACATTGCTAATAAAGATTATCGCTGAAAGTACGCCGTACGGTCTTCCTGTATCTGGAGCAATGGGTTGATGGTATCCAGCAATAAAGCTATCGAAGAGCCGAGAAAAAATGTCCAGAGCCAATTTTTGCAATTTCTCGCCCATGTTTGACGCCGATGCTTGGTAATTCATCAATTCATCGATCTCTTCCTTCAACTCCTCCATCCCATCTTTCAGTTCGTCATTCTCCTCTTTCAATCCACTATTTTCCCCTTTCAATCCAATATTTTCCTCTTTCAACTCTTCGTTCTCCTCCCTAAGTTCATCATTCTCCTCCTTCAAGTCCTCATTCTCGTCAATCAACCTTATGTTCGCCTCGAACAATCTTTGGTATGCCTCCTTCCATTTTCCTATCTCCCCCTCCTCCTCTCTTCGCCTCTCCCTAATTTCCGATCTTCTTTTATCCCCTGGAAGGCAATGTTTTTCAGCATCGAGTTCTCTTGAATGCGCTTCAATCGAGAAAGGATCGATACCCGCTCTCGGGCGTTCAGATCGAGCCGAAGATGACCTAGTCCAAACATCCGGATTATCAGATGTGTGTATGAGTGGCGGTAGGGCTTCGAAATTCAAAGTTTCAACGATGATCCGTCGCCATGGAGGGTAAAGGCATAGAACTGGGAGGATAAGGCTATACGAGAGTAAACCAGTCAGTCAACCCGATGGGATTTCGAGCTAAGGGATCACAATCAATCGTTCAAAAGCGACAGACCTTCCAAAGGATAGTTGCTCCCTTCGAGGTGATTGTGTAGTAAGACCAGATGGCATGTCCCGGAGTTGCAATTGGTTTCGACAAAGCGAAATATTATAGAGGAGATGATACTAGGATCTGGATTCGACGACTGCGCTCATTGTCTGATAGCAACGTTGTCTGCACAATTTTGAAATTCAGCCGCGAATCGGAGCGATCGGCCTGCGGCCGTATTGACATGCTGACCCTGTGAGCTCCACCCAATCACAAACTCGACAAAAAGTGCTAGGCCCTCTCATCCTCAAGTTTCGTGTCACCACACTATGCACCATAGAGGTGGATGTTGGTTTGCATCACTACTCATAACACACGTACAGTACTGGTCAACTGACGCTCGAGCTCAAACGTTCAAAGCAATTCTGCATAGTAAACGAAACTTTCTAAGTTCGTGACTATTATTCGACGTACATCCCTTACTATGCCACTCCCACTCGACAACCCCATTAACCGTCTCCAAAAGTGACTTATACCCCTCTACCCTAACCAATTGTAAATAAAGTATCCTCACATCGAACCTCTCACCAACACAACCTCAAGCAAATTGAG